GTTATTAATTTCTACTGCTTCTCTCCTTTTGACATAACCATTGTTGCCAACATTTAGGCCGAATATTATGAACGACATTCTGAGCAGATTTTAAAGGCCGAGGTTATAGAAATTCTGTTGTGCACAGAAATGGCGACACATGACAGAATCAGAAAAACAAGGGCGATACGTTTTTGGGAAATACATTTTTGTTTCCAAGAGGGGTGGAGCAACAACAACATTCCAGTTCTTAACCTTTTTTTCATTCGGAAAAAATGTTTAATTGTTCTTTAAAATTGAATCTTCCATGTTTCAGGTGTAAGTATTTGTGAAAAATGTATTTCAGAAACGTTAATCTGATTAGAGGCGACTGCTCATGCAGAGAAATCTAAGGTGGCTAAACTAGAACCAGCAGGTCAAGCTTTAAAAACCCCCAAAACCTGGTCAGATCTGTGATTCTGAAATGAATAATCCCACAATGCAACAGCTGTCCACTGTCACTTCAATCTGCTGGTTTTCCATTTTAAAGAAAACCTGAACTTGACTGATAACAAGCATCAAATAAAGGAATTTTATCGACTTAGCATCTGCCTGTTTGATTCAGCTGATTATAAATAGTCTTAAGAAGAACTGAGTTGTGAATTTCCCCTTTATATATAAATGAAACTAAACTAAAACAGCCCCTGATTGGTTGCTGCACTAAGCTGACCTCCTGCATTTAACAGCAGCAGCTACCGATGCTGTTCAGCCACAGGGAAGGAAATCGGGTTAATATGATCAAGTTGGTCTGCATGAACAGATCTGAGTGTATTTTTGTTTACTTCCTAAAATCTGAAATGTTCCTGTTTCTTAAATTAAACTCATGTTTGTTCAAACTGAACCCAGAAGCAAGCGGCTCCATTTGAATGTAAATGGAATTTATAAAACGCTTCTCTCTCCTCTATTAACTGATAATAACCGTTTAAAACAATTACTTTTCATCTGTCTATAATAATATTTTAGCCTCCTTTATGTTCAAAGAAAGAAGAGAGTGAATCAATGAGCTCCACCTGCTGCAGGCAGATTATTTTGATTATTACCAGAACTTTTAATCAGTAAAAATCCGCCTAAAAACAAAAACCTGATCCCATTTTTCTCTGTTTTGACTGTTTCCCTAAACTTCCCGTCTTTAATTACTTTGTATTGTCTGCAGCAGGCACAGAAATTAGAAGCAGGTTTCTGACATGGCGGCACAGCAGACTCAGGTTAGTGTGTGTTGGGGTGAACATGTGTGACAACATTTGTGTGTCTGACAGCTGCAAAGCTCCTGACCTACATATCTCCGCTCATATAGCCCCTATAACTGGAAACCAGTAGCCTCTTTTAAACAAACTAACAAACCTATAGGTCGTCTTTGTCAGATTCAAAAGTCAAAGTGTTAGGAAAGAAAATGAAACGGGTTTAAAGATAAGATAGTACCAATAAGAGACAAACTGGGCACATAATCCTTTCCCCTCATGGCCTGGTTTCTACATCCCCTCCTCCTCCAAACACGATCCTTCCTTCCTTCCTCATCATGCCCTGAATCATTGTTGACCGCTAACATCCCATGTTTAGCCCAAAGGAAACTCCATCCATCCCTGATCTCACAGAAAAAGACGCTTATTAAAGGTCCTGTTCCATCTGAAAGGAGGAAAATGAGGTTATATCCGTTTTCTGCACGTTGAGTTGAACTACTTACTTTCATTTTCAGTCTGAAGGTTAAAACCAGATTAAGGTCAGTAAACAATCACAGGCTAAACAGGTTCTTACAAAAAGCTTGTTTTATATTTAATATTGAAAACCCATAAAGGTCATAACTGTCATTTGATTTGATTCAAACAGCCACGGTAGCTTCCTGGAAGAAAAGCAGCCATGTGCTGCTGCCCTGCTGTGTCACCTGCTTACTTAGTTTGGACCTTCTGAATTATTCTCTGCGCTGTCAGTGGTTTGGTTTTCTACTGCTGCTGACTGCTAGTTTCCTGTTCCTGTCTGAGGTGACATGTCTTCTGCTCTGTTACTGTAAAGGAAGTGAGATGTTTACCGAGGGGGTTCATTTAGTCCTCCTAAACATGGCTCTCAGTGGTTTTTAATCAAACAAAAAGAAATCTTTTCTATTCACTTGCTCTATTGTGATATTTTTGATGTTTCAGGGTAGATACTGTTCTTACAAAATGTGTCCTATGGGCTTAACTTATTCTTTAGAGTGGAGTGAGCAGATTGCAGAGCCTAGGTCTTTGCTCAGGAACTCAGGAGAATCTACTGACAGTCTGTGTTACAACCAGGCTTCATGGAAGAATGGAAGGAAGAACACCAGAAGACTTATTTAATAACAAAGCAAACATTTGGAAGGATGAGCTCTGGTTGAATGAAACAACAAACTAACATCCCCTGAACACACAACCCATCAATACACGGCAATGGCAGCAGTAAATGGTTATTTTAATAAGGATACGGGTGCAAACAGTTTAGGAATAAGGAGGAGGTTCGCCTTCCAGCAGACGGTTTAAACTCTAAAACCTGATTGGTTAGATTGGCCTAGTCTATTATAGAGACTGACATTTTTTCGGGAATCCCACAGGTCACGGGATTCCCGTGGGATTCCCGTGGGATGG